TTTATACCATCATGGATTGCTTCTAGGGGCTTAGTAACATTGTTGAAGAATATTTTCACTTTTCTCCGTTGATGACATATGGAGTAATTGGGAACTAGTTGCTAAAGCTTCTTCAGTTAAGGACAAACCTGTAAAAGCCTGGAAGCCCCAGAAGAGTTTTTTCACAAAACTCAACTTTGATTGCAACAACTTCGATAATCCTAAGCCCTCTAGAATTGGGGGAGTATTAAGGAATGCAAAGGGCTAGATAGTGGCTTTATTCTCTGGTCCAATTGGAGTGGGGGATGCGGTTAGTGCAAAGGTCAAAGCTATTATACAGCGAGCTCAAATCGCTAAAGAGATGAACCTCACAAATCTGGTCATAGAAGATTCAAATGGCTAACTTCTAATTTAACAGCCAAGGTTTAGCATGAGAGAAGATTGGCAAATGGATTGGCAGACCTACTAGCTAAGCAAGGGGTGAATAGGGGTCAATTATTCTAGGCGATACTGTAATTTAGTTTGTTTTTCAAGGCAGCATCTCGCGCCTCTTGGGAAAACTAAATGTTGTATCGGATGTAAATCCATCTTAAAAATATTTAATGAAATGTTTTATTATTCATCAAAAAAAGTCAATCATTAAATAAGTAGGATTAGAGTTATCGAGTCCTCTTTGAATTGAAATAGGATATGACAACTTAGTTTGAGTCCTACTAGGATTATTGAGTCTAACAATTTGACACCTAGGACTATTATGAGTCTAATAGTTCAACTCCTAGGTTTATTATGAGTTTGAAGTCCATAAAGATGTATGGTCGTTTTACACAAAGAGCAATGAAATTTTTTGAGTTTTCTTTAGCTTATGTTAATTATGGTCAGTGATTCCCATACCCTAGAGTGATTCTAGGAACCCCGTGAGAGATACCGGGTATTCTCTCTTTTTTTTTCTCTCCCTATTTTCTTTCTTATTCCTTCAAGAAGCCATTACAGCCATCAACAGCCATAAATTTCTAATCAAAGAAGACCATTCAACGTTCTCTAAGGATTAGAATTAAGCTGGTTCTACATCAGTTTGGTATCAGAGCCAAGGTCATAGGCTGTCATCATCATGGCTACACGTAGTGGCAAGTACAGGGGTACTGATACATAAAGAGATTCATTGATTTCTACCCTTTGCAAGAGAGTTGAAACCCTTGAAGCACAAGTAAAAAGCACTTCAAGAAGCTAAAGAAGAAGAAATCCAGCAAGGAGCACCCCTAATCAATGAAGGGGATGGAGGATGAAACAAGGGAGTTGCCCACAAAGATGATAATAGTGAAGAAAGGATCTATTAATCTTAGAGGACAAAGAGTTGCAAACCGCACAAGGTACCACCTGCACACAAGGTTTAAAATTTCGATATGATACGCCCTGTATCGGGCGTATCGTATCAGGCTTAACGATTTCAAAGAAAAAACCCAGGAGAGTGAACATCGATCCAATCCAATACGCCCCTACCGGCATATCGGCCTATATCGATATTTTAAACCTTGCCTACACAAGCTAATCAAGCTCAAAATACCCATCAAGGGATTGATCAAGAAGTATCACACACAAATCTATTTGATGAGATGATGGACCAAGCTTAACATGGAGGCTATGCAGATAAGGACCATTTTGTGCCCTCAAATTATTCCCTACCCAAGAAAAATAATCCCAAAGCAGTGTTTTAAAAGTGTAAGGTGCAAAAAATGAACAATGGCCATTTTGTGCCTAAGGCACAAGGAGAAAGATGAGGTATGCACCTTTTTGAAGCAAGGTGCAAAAAAGGAAAAAATGGTAAAAAAATTCAAAATATTGCAAAATATTAAAAAAATAAACAAAAAATTTAATTAAAATATAAACTTAAATTCTAAAATAAATGTTTTAAAAACCTATTATCTCAAATTAAAATACATAAACATAACATGTAAAACATATTTAAAATGAAAATTTAAAAAGAAAATCAAGCATAACATATAGAACAAATTCAAGCATGTAAACTCTCAATCTCTTTATTTTTTTCCCAATTGCACTACTTCAAATAGCTAATGTGAAGTTAAACATAATGCATTCTTGATTCTATGAGCCATCTTTGTACCAACCCCTTGAGGCAAGCCCAATACAAGCCCACATCAAAGGCTTAAACTCTTAATCCCAATAGAAAAGGTTTTTATAACTTTAAGTCCCTTTTAGAAATATCATTTATTAGGATGAATGAATGAGCAACATTAGCAAATATGGGTTTTCGGAGCTTTTGTGAGCGAGCAAAATGTTGCTCATTCATTCATCTTAATAAAAGATATTTTTAAAAGACACTTGTAGTTATAAAACATTTTTATAAGGAATAAGATTTTAAGCCTCTGATATGGACTTGTATTGGGCTTGCCTCGTGGGCTTTATTACAAACCTAAATGGTTAAAGTGCTTGGCTTGACGTGTTCCATCAGTCTTAAGGCTTTTGGCATATTCATCAAGCACACAACATTTGGTATTAGAGCCTACCACCACGTCTCAAGTTCAGATTACAGAGAGGGCTACCTAGAATAAAGTGAAAGCTATCATGGAAAGGGCTACCTGAAGTAGAGTGAAAGCCATCACAAAAAGAAATACTTGGAACAAAGTCAAAGCCGCCAAAGGGAGGGCTACCTACTGCAAGAGTGTGAGATGTCATGGAAAGGGGTACCTACCGCCAGAGTGAAAGCCATCATGAGGAGGGCTACCTACCGCTAGAGTGAGAGTTGCCTAGAGTGAAGCCGCTGAAACATCAACTACAGAAGTGTGATGGTATGTTACGGTCCTAAATGGTTAAAGTGCTTGGCTTGACACGTTCAATCGTTCTTAAGGCCTTTGGCGTATTGGTCAATTATAAAACAGGCTTGGTCAAGGGTCCAAGGACAAAGTCCCCAGTCCAACTGCTAAGCATAAAAAATAGCAAAAATGCACAAATTTTCGAAAGGCACATGCCTAGGTTGAAGCACAAGGCACACCAGCATGCATCTTTGGAAAGTGTTGTGCCTAGGACCTAGGCAAGGCATATACCCTAAAATGTGCCTCACATGTTCGTGTAGGCACGCCTTTTAAATCAGTGTCCCAAAGTTTCTGACTTTGACCTCTACATTTACAACAGTTTCCAAGTAAACAGTTCAACCAACTTGGTGAGTTTCATCTAAAACCACCTCGTCTACAAATTCACCTTTTTCTCCTCCCTCATCTTTACTCTCAGCACTACCAACCAAAGGCCAAGTTCTATAATTCCTTTTTTTCTCTTTCATAAAATCGCATACAACTTACAAGTACCTTAATGGATTCATTTTTCACCATTGTTTACCACCAACCCACATTCTTTATTCTCAGCAACCCCTCCCAACTCAACCCCATTTTGATCAGCTCTAGAACCAGCCTCCACATTTGTAACAGAATCTTCTTCCATTAATGCAGTTTGAGAGGAAGGAGTCAGAACTGACAACTGCTACAAGTCTGGTAAGGAATGATACTCAAGTAAAGGAGGCTCAAGGAGACAAGATGATGACTGATAATGGTCGGGAAAACTGCAAAGAGAGGTGTCTAATAGTGATGTGGGTGAGAAGGGAGCCTCCACAGTCAAGGAAGAAAAGCATTCACAATCAAAGGAAGGTTTCTGGAATTGAGGGGGTGCCAGAGAAGAAACATTCAAAGATCCTGATCTTACTCAGCTTTGGCTGTTGAAGATGTTGAATTTGAGTTTCCTCCAGGGGATCTGCTGGAAGGAACCATTAAGGATAGAGAGGAGAAGCAGACTTCACCACCAAAAGAGGTCGGTTTGGCTGGTGTCCAGATGCAGACCTGACTGATGTTGACATCTCTAGAATGGGAAATGAGAAGTTTCAAGGTCCTTAGAATAACAAAAATAAAAAATGCCAAGGGCAATTTAAACAGCAAAACAAACCAGAATAGCCACTGAATGAAAAAGGAGCTATTACTCTGAAATGTGAGAAAACTGTCCTTATGATCCAACTTTTTTTGCTTTTTCTTCTTTTGCTCCTTTTTTTTTCTTTTTTTTTTGATCAAAAAAAAGAAGAAAAAAAAAAGTGTGTAAAAGTATAATGTATTCATTCACAGAAGTGTAAAAGCATATAAACTAGATCATGTGCATGTAGATACATATCAGATGCTCAAAAAAGCAACACCACAACCTCATTGTGCCAATAACTTTCTTTAGAGTTGCTTCAGGGATGTTGCTCTTTTTATCAACAGCATGTGATATTCTTTTCTTTGCAAATTAACCAGATCACAACCGTCAAACAATGGAACCCAATAGTGTCTTTTCCTTCCTGTTATCTCCGTCTTTGGTATTAAAAGTTCTTTTACAATGTATTGATCAAAAAAAAAGTGCTTTTACAATGGAGTTGCTCGAATAAGCAGCCCCTTAAAATGTCATAAAATGACATACAGACACTTCCTTTTTTCTTTTTTTTCTTTTTTGCATTTTCTAAGTTCTTTTTTTTTTGGAATAAATACCATTTAGCACATTAGGTCACCACATGTAAAGAAAATTGCTTTTCTAGTATATGGATCTTAATTTAGAATATCAAAAAACCTGGTAGAAATGTCTGGTAGGGACATTTGCTCTCATCACAGACTGGGTCCTGATTCAAAAGGAGTTTAATGACCAGCATATGATGGATAAAAAGAACCAACAGATTAGAAAAGTAAGATATTGATGTTTCTCTTTTCTGCTCTTGATATTTTTGGGGGTAAAGCTGTAGGTTTCTTTTCAATTTGTATTTTAGTATCCACAATTTATTAGGTAGACCATTTATAAACCTCCATATAACTTTTTTGCTTTTGTACTTTAATGAAATATACTATTGCACAAAAAGAAAATTACAAATGCTTTGTAGGAAACAACTACCGGAAAAAGCCATTAAATGCAGCGCTACTTCAACAGGACAGTAAAGCAAAAACTTAAAAATAACCTTTATAATCTCTGAATTTTGCAAAGGAGCTAGTCAGTAGACGCACCGGTGGAGAAGCTATTTTGGCAGCTATAGCTTCAATCTTCTCTGAATAGTCATTCACCTTTGCTTTTGAAATTCTGCAGAAAGATTTCCAAAATTAATTCTCTGTTACTATGTGAAGAACTGAAGAATTCACACATAGTTTATTAACAGGGATCTTCAAAGTAATAAAATGCATTTAGACAAGGCATATAAAATCCTCAGCTCACATTGCACACCTCCAAATACATGCACAATCTTGTTTTTAATTTCCTAAGATATGCACTAATACAGTCCCTTAATTTTTTCTTCTGAATGTTTGTCATTTTCAGCAAGTCAAATAAACAAATGAATCAGTCATTATGATGAAGTGAACTGTTGTTAGGTTACTGCCTAACTCAGGGATCTCTGAGGGAGATCAAACCTCCTTACAGAATCAAGAGAGGGAAATTTGCATTCGCAGTTCCTTGATTTCTCCCCTATTCCTTTAAATAGTGTTTACATCTGCCAAATCTGGATCTCAAGACAACAAGAATCACATCAATTCTTCCCCAATAACTGGCTGGTGTGGCCTCCTGCAGTAAACCATCATTGCATGCACTGGAGCTTGACCGTCTTGGGCCACTGCTGGCATGGGTTTGGTAGTGGAATCTGTGGGCTGGCCACTTACCAAGGTTCTATCAACTCTCCTCACCTTTCAGGTCAACCTTGTCCACAAGGTTGAGGTGTGGATACACTAGTTGGAGCTAGGAGTAATATTTCCAGGTGGTGTCTTCCTCCCAAAGGTTTTTCCAAAATACCAACACCTCCTCAATAATCTTGCCACCTTGTCTTGCCAATCTGTAGTCTATTATCTTTGTAGATTCAACCTGAGAATTCAGATTAGCTGAACACTTCAGCTGTGTAGCAGGCTGTGGAACCAATGACAATGCCCTACACCAGTGAAAAAATACATGGGATCCACACTGAGAGGTTGAATAGTTGTGGACCCCATGTATTTTATGACTCATGTGGAGTGTTATTATTGATTTCAAAGTCTGTTGAACAGCTATTGCATTCAGCTAATCCTATCTCTCAACCTGAGGCCCTCCTTCCTCATCAGGAATTGGCAGGTTTGGTCCCCCTACAGCCGCTGCATTGGGGCACTTCTTGTGGAGTGTTGCATGAAGGATTGGATGGATATTGTAAGTGTGGGGAAGGTCAAGCTTGTAGGCCAGTGGACCAATCCAAGCCAAAATTTGGAAGGGGCCATAGTACCATAGTTTTCAAGGCGCCAAGGCAAACCTAGGCAACAAGGGAGAGCTTAGTTGCTTAGTCGCCTAGGTGTCACTTAGTGTCTAAAAAAGGATAGAAAAACAATGGCCTGATCCCTTGTTTCTATTGTAGGAAAAGAAGTAAAAAGACAGAGTAACAGCTGTAACGTGGAAAATATGGGGTGGAGCCCCTGTTCTTGTCTTCCATAAACGAAAGCACATAAAAGAACATACAAAAATGGTGGAGAAGGGGCAGAGCCCCTGTTTTAGTTCCAAAAATATGAAGGGGCATAGCCCCTGCTTTCATTCCAGAAGAAGAAAAAGGGTTGGAGCCCATGTTCCAGAAAAAGGAAGAAGAAGAAGAAGAAGAGGCTTCACCCCTGTTTTTGTTATAGAAGAAGAAAAATAAGAAGGGGCGGAGTCCCTGTTTTTATTCCAGAAGAAGAAAAATAAGAAGGGGTGAGAACCCTGTTTTTGTTCAGAAGAAGAAAAAGAAGGGGCAGAGCCCCTGTTTTTTTTTTCTAGAAGAAGAAAATAAGACGGAGCAGAGCCCCTGTTTTCGTTCTGGAAGAACATACCTTTTGCAATTGGTTGGTGTTCCCTGATTAAGACTTCGAACTCTGTATCACTCAAACCCTATAAGTCTTCATTCTTAGTTTTCGAATATCTATCACTCAGAACCTTAACAAAATAAGAAGCTAACAATAAAAGATATTATTTAGTGAAAAAAATAATAGAGAGATATAGTGTATCATGCCTATATTAATATTATATACTAAAAATATAAAAACATATAAAACATTATATAACTTTGTACAAGTGGTATACAAACCACTTGGCATTTGGGCGAGGCAAGCCCCAAAAAGCGACTAGATGCCTAGGAGTCGCCTTGACAACTATGCATAGTACCTGGGAGAGTATTTCTGAAATCCCCTTTTCGCCACCAAGCTTTGTCTGTATGGCTACAGCCACACATAAACCTGATCACCCACTTGGTACTCAGCCAACTTGTGCTTGCAGCCATGGATTGTTTTCATGGTGTGTTGGACCCAAAGTAAATTTGCCTTAAGCTCCTATAGAATTTGGTCTCTCATTAACAAAATAGCAGAAGGATTGTAGGATGTAAGGAATATAAAATGTGAAATTCAAATAAGAGGAATAGAGGAATTTTGCATTTGTCTCCTCTCTCTCTCTCTCCATTCTCGGAGGTTGGTTCCCCCGATGAACCCTGAGTTAGGTACAAACCTAACATTTTTTGTAGCAAAGCAAAAATGCTGAACACTCAAACAACACCAATTGATACCAGGGTTGATCAGTTGGAGGTGGAGCTCAGCCAGGTGTCAAGTAATCTTCATGAGATCCAGGAATCCCTAACAGCAATGGCACTTCGTCTCAATCAGATGCACAAAAGTCGAAACAGGGAAGGGGATAGAAAGGTGACAACCAAGGAGGCAGTCGTCATAGTAGATCTTGAGCAAGTAAGAGCGCCAAGCTAGAGTTTCCAATTTTCTCTAGGGGATCTGATCCTTGGATTTACCGAGCTGAAAGATACTCGATTACAATGAAGCACCCAATCAAAATTGGGTTGCTTCAGCCTTTGTCCACTTGGAAGTGGAGGCAGTTCTTGGAGTAGAAAGCCTTATGTGCTGATTCGGCCAAGCTTCTTGTGAAAGGAAGAGGAGAAAGTTGAGGGTTTCAGCAATAGACAGAGGAAAGGGAAGAAAAGGAGAAGAAGGTCGACAAGGATAGTGATGCATAACCCTAGCCACCAGCCCCTCATTCTATTTATAATTAACTTAAATATG